CCCTGTGAAATACTGGCCCTCGAAGTTCGGGAAGTTAATTGCGTAACTATATGGTATGTCAGTTGTAGGTATCAACTTCAGTGACGCGACAAATGAAAAGTTGCTGGTCCGCAAAAAAAGGCCACACAAGAAGAGCTAAGTTTAAAATCTTTCAGTTGCAAATGAGCAGGAAACATTCCCTTAAAATTAAAGCCTTCAGCTTTTCCCGTTTCTGAGTTACTTGTCGGGTCACTGAAGTCGACACCTAAAACTGACATACCACACAGTTGCACAGTTAGCTTTTTCAAAATTTTCCCATCAAAATTTTCCCATCAGTTTTCCCATCAAAATTTTCATGTCTTCGTACATGAGTACTGGACGTTTTTAAGGAGCTGAATTTAAAATCTTTTGCTCGTACATGAATAGGGAGCATTCCCATAAAGTTTCAGCTTTCTTAAAGTTTCAGCTCCTGTTCTCAGGTTAGTGACTTCCGCACCAAAATTTTCACGTGCCCGTACGTGAGCCCCTGGCGGTTCTGAGGAGCTGAATTTGAAAAATTTTGGTCGTGCATGAGTATGGAACATTCCCCCAAAGTTTCAACTTTCTAGCTTTCCTCATTCTCGAGTTTTGAATTTTCCCGCCAAAATTTTCACGTGCCCGTACGTAAGCCCTGGGCACTCCTGGGCAGCTGAATTTGAAATCCTTTTGTCGTACATGGGTAGGGAACATTCTCCCAAGGTTTTAGCTTTCTAGCTTTTCTCGTTCCCGAGTTAGCGATTTTCGCGCCAAAACTTTGACGTGCTTGTACGCGGGGCTCAGACGTGCGTGAGGGTTGATACCGCGGTCCTGGGGTGGCACTTGGGTGGGGAACACACTGGCAAAATTTCAGCTTCAAAGCTTGCGCGGTTAGCGAGTTGAAATACCCGGACAGTGAACACGAACACACACGCACACAAACATACACACACACACAACCACACAAACATACATACACACACAGACAAGGTCGTTGCAATATGCGTTTTTGCTGCCTGTTGCAGCGCTCTGGCGTTGCACGGCAAAAACGCATAAAAAAGGATAATCACACCGGCAAGCCCGGCGTATTCCAGCCTAGCCCGGTGACTACCGCAACGCTCTAGTGCTGTATCGCAAAAACGCATAAAAACCATGGAATAAATTACTTCCTCACGAATTTCGTGCTGTTGCAAGCTGCGATAAACTCGTTTGAGTATCACACGAAAACGTTCCTCGAATTCCTCAAGCATTTGTGGCCGGGCGCTTTTTAGCCTAGGAAGAATCTGCAAAGGTGGTTGCTTCGATCAAAAAAAAAGTGTCAGAACTGGATATTGGATGTGTGTAATGCACCCTTGTTTTGGCAGGTTTTCTCCACTAGTTTTTTGCTAATGCATGCATGTGTTTAATCAGAAATGTGACTCGGATTTGGTGCGCCTGGACGCAAATCCCAATGAACAAGCTCTTTGGTTTTGGTGATTGTTGTCGATAATGAGAGAATTCGCCTAATTGTATTAAATCGAGAACTGACCTAATGGCAATGTTAAATCAGTGATGCCAACTTGAGTATCACTAATGTGCCTTTTTGGCCAAAATGCATGCCATTATGATTGGACTTGGTGAATATTTCTGGTAAATTCAGCGACTGGGCAGGCAAACAAATTATCTATAAACCAGGCTTGCTAGTTGTTCAAAATCAAGATCAGAAAAAAAAGCAGAAAACCTGTTCAGCGGCAACCTGTTCCATGAAAATACTGTTTCTGTATTTGTGATCAGCAGAGGTGCATCCTGAATTCGACTTGTCGGTATCTTTCAAAAACATTTCCGCATCATTCGATTGAGTAAGCTGCAATTTTTCGTTGCTGCGACTTGTAAAACTTCTTAAAGACTTTAAAAGTCACATTTTCAATAATTTTTTTTTTCAATAATTAGAAATGTGCATTTATTCGCTTTTGATATTAATAACAGTAGTAACATCAACAACATTAATAATTAAAGTAATAATAATAGCAATAACAAAAATAATGACAATTGTTAATAACAACTGTGATGACGACAACGGTAATAATAACGTGCCGGAAATCAAAACATATATTTCTAAGAATCAAGAAAATTTTAATTCAAGTCTTACGACAGCGAACTAGTATCGCTGTGGTCCCTATGAAATTTTGCTAGAAATTATATTGAATGAGACAGACCAGTGGCTGCTTGAGGCATTCGCAATCGGACGCTCGTTTTGGATGAGAGAAGTTACGACGATAGCGACTTGGAGCTCCCAGCTCCCTGAATATATTACTTCTGCGAACTGTTGATTTTTTGCACTGTAAAATTTGGATACTGTTTACGTGTACTCGACAGAGTAAGTAGAACAGCTTACTCAGCTGCAGCAGTTCCTGAAAGAGAGGTGCCTCCTCGGGTACAGAGAGTGTTGTTGTTTTCATAAAGTATTTTCATTTTACTAATCGCAGCGGTTGTTTCATGACACTATCCGCTGCAGCGGTTCAAGAGCGTTGTTTTCGTGTCACTATTTGCTTGCAGAACAAATGGAAACCCAGGCTGGAACGCACCAGGCGGGCCGGAGCGATTATGCGTTTTTGCACTTTCGTACCTAGCAAGACCGCAAGAAGTCAGTGTAGCTAACCCTATGAAATACTGGCCCTCGGAGTTCGGAAGTTAATTGTGCAGCTATGTGGTATGTCAGTTGTAGGTGT